TAAATCATCAGGTAGCTCCTAATGATTTTTCCTATTAGTAGACCATCTATTCAAGGAAAACAATTTATTATATGTTGTATCAAATGATTAATATACGAAATCAATTTTACAATTACCTCAATAGTAGTGGAAATACGAATGTGTTCTTGACAATGGGACATAAAAAGGGCAATCGATACCATGCCCAAGACTGCAGCAGCAGGAGACATCTGCCGATAGCATTTCTCCTGTAGTCAATGACTTGACACATCTCCCTGTACAAGAAAGCCAAAACTACCGAGCCCCAACTCAGTGATCCGACCAGATGAAAATCGCTAAGATATCGCAACCACATGCAGTGAACTTGGTTGCACGATTTTTCCGGCATTAGCAACCCTCCTATCAGCTGCAGTATGCATGCCCGTGCATACATTTTAACTTCATCATCAGAGGCGTCATCGTTCAACTCCCGAAAATTGGCATCTAACCAATTTAACGGTATTCGACCACCGTTAAAATTTTTCGGGACACGTCCTAGATTTTCCCGACACAAAGTAGTCCAGGAATCCTGCGCGATCCCTGATGTCACATCTCCAACCACCAAAAGCCCCAGGTGCATAGCAACATCCTCAAGTGTAATCGTGCACTCTCCGCACGGAAGATGGAATGTGTGGGTCTCCAGCCTCCACCGCTCTACTAAGGTAGAAATAAGGTGTGGTTCTATCTTACAGTGACCCTGATATCTACATATATAATCGAATCCAGTGTCTACTAAATACGTCAAGACACAGCTAGGTATCACTAACTTAAGGTTCCTAATAAAATGATCTAATATACAGTTTTTCTCCTAAAATTAAATAATTACAAAAATTAATTCTTAATCTAATAATCATGCATTGAATAAATCAACAAATTATTACTATTAATTTAAATTAAATTAAATTAAAACGTTAAAATGTTACCGTATTAGCAAAGTGTCGAGATATATGATTTTCATCCAAGCGAAGTAGACTGCCTTCCATTATATATCTGCAAAAAAATTTATATAAGTAAAATATTAAATAAATTAAATACTTATATAAATTAAGGGTAAAGTATAGTAATGGTCACTGAACATTTCTGAATCTTGCATTTAGGTCCCCCAACTTTTAAAACTTGTAATACAGTCCCCCAATATTTATTCCGTTTGCAATATGGTCCCCGCTATTAAACCACCGTTAGAAAATTAGGATAAATTATATAAATGATAATTGAACTTTTCAGGCACTTGAATTTAGGTCCCCCAATTTTTAAAACTTGCAATGTAGAGTCACATCCTTTTGCAGCTATTGCTGATGCTATTGCTGATTGCAGCCTCGCCATAACACTTTATGGCAATTATTTGAAGGTTTTTTTCCTGCAAACTGATTTATCTTTGTGCTCTGACCTGTTCATATGATTTTCTATCGAAGGAAGTGGTTTGAGGAATTTGAGTAGGGAGATTGAATCAGTCGGTCCATTGTGTATTCCAAATAAAATTGGTTAATCTAACTGAAAAATACCTCCAAAGGGAGAAAGTGAATGAAGTCATCTAATAGCTACTAAGCATATGCGCAAGCTCAATTTGTAGGACTGCCTGGATAATTTTATCATTGTATTGACAAGCATACGATTCTTTCTTATCAGCCTATTGTTTATTCTGTTCTAAGCAGCAGTGGTTGGCACATAAAATGTTACTGAAAGGTGCAATAAACTATAAATGTTGAATATGAACAAAAGAAAAAAAGGAAATTATAAATGTTGAATACTAAGGACATAGAAAATGCTAACCAATCCCTTTACTAGAAAATATTTTTAATTTGCTGGTTAAAATGGGGAATTCCTTGTTCTCTTCTCATTAACAACAATTATTTTTTCCAGTAGTTCTCATGTATGCCTGATAAGTTTGGCTTAGTATTGTGTTGTATGGATCTCAAAAGTAAGCAGCAACAGAAAATGATTGTATGAATTCTGGACTCTGGACTTTGGGACTACATTTTATTATTTTCTTTTTAGATATCTATTGCAAGTTTTCACTGTTGGAAAATATTGCTTTCTGATGATTGGAGCTTCAGGCGCATCCTTTGTTGTGTGTTTATCCACTTTCAATACATTTTTTTGGCTTTCTATCACCTTCTAGGGGAATTTCTTGATTTTATACTGTATAGGATGCGTGCTTGAACCAAAGTCAACATAAATGGTTAGATTTATTGTGAAATTTAGATCATTTTAAAATTTCTTGCAGCACTTTCTAGACGTGCCACATTATATGAGAAGATTAGAGATTATGGGAAAGCAAATAGTGATCTTGAAAGACTTCTTTCTCTTCTCATGAAGCAAACGGAGATGACCAATCAAACTGGATTATCTGAAAGATCTGTTAACTTGGCAAACGATACTAGACATGCTCGTTCGTGGCTTTCTGAAATTGAGGAACAAAGCAAAAAGGAAGTGCCTTTGGATTTCTATCTCATCTTGTGAGTTTCTTATGTACTTGGATCTTGATGCTAATATCTTCTTTGGCTTAATATTAAATACTTCGTTAGCTTTTTACCTTAAACCTTTCTAATATAATTGTGTGGGTAGTAAATTTTAGATTTCATGAAAGGGGTTTAAGACTTTCCATTCATCTATAACCATGTATGTTATTTTTACTGTAATGGCAGGGGGATTGAACCATCTGCTTCACCAGCAGAAATAAAGAAGGCATATCAGAAAGCTGCTCTTAGGCATCATCCTGACAAGGTTTCTTATATCTGCTGCTATACGCATATTTTTAGAATTTTGGTGGTTATCTGATAGGTTTTTTACACATGTAGGCTGTTCAATCCCTGGTAAGAACTGAAAATGGAGACGATAAAATCTGGAAGGAGATAAGAGAAGAAGTCTACAAGGATGCTGACAAACTATTTAAGATAATTGGAGAAACATATGCAGTACTTTTAGACCCTACCAAGGTATATGTTATCCTCTTCGAATTTTGGAGGAGCATTATAATAACTTTATTTATTATGGTATATGTTATTCTTTGCAAATATGGCATTTATCTTGCAACATTGTCTTTCTGCAGCCCTCAAGGTATGACTCTGAAGAAGAGACAAGGAACTTGTAGAAGAAACATTTTGCACATACATCCAGAGCAGTTGCAGATGGTTACAGTTATTCGTTCGATAAAAGCAGTGGTATGCAATCACGGAGGGATGCCAGGAGATCATTTGGCTACTCGAGCTCCAAAGGGTCTAAAGCCACTCGTTCTAACATATTCTTTTGACAGTTGTGGTAAGTACTGTGAGAAACGTGATCCCACCTTGGCAGTTGTGGCTTACCGAAGAGGACAATGTGATGACGAACTTATGAATGTCACAAATAAGAACTCGTTGTTCAAATTGCAGGTCAGTTTTTAAAAGTTGGGGACCTAAATTCAAGTGCCTAAAAAGTTCAATGATCGTTTATATAATTTATCCTAATTTTTTAACGGTGGTTTAAGTTGGGGGATCATATTGCAAACAGAATAAATGTTGAGGGACTGTATTGTAAGTTTTAAAAGTCGGGAGACCTAAATGTAAACTTTAGAAATGTTCAGTGACCATTACTATACTTTACCTATAAATTAAATACAAAATATTAAAAATATAATAAAATATACCTTAAATAGATAATATAAGAGTATTTGAGAGAAGTTGAGAGAAATTGAAAGAAGTTCGTATGATGAAAGTGATTGAGGATGAGGTATTTATAGGGAAAGATTGGGGAGTCAAGCGTCGGGGTAAGTGGATAATTAAACCTAAGGCGCGTCGTAGGGGCGCGTCGTAGGGGCGCGCCTTACTGACGCGTGGCAGATTCACAGGTAAAGCGCGGCCCCTGCCCTGCGCTATACCCTACGTGGCCTAAGGCATGCCTTAGGGGCCGCACTATACACACGTATATCCCATGTCAGCATAAGACGCGTCTTATCCCACGTGACGCCAAATTAACGTTAAACGCATTACAAGGACGCTTCCTTTACAAAAAAAAAATGTTAGATAAAAAAATATAATATGTGTCCGATAAAAATATTAATTGAAAAAAGTGATTTTTGGGATAAACGCCCAAAACATGCATGGAAAAAAGGAAAGTAGGATATCTAAACCTCTCTCCTTTGAATTGTTTTATCTCGTCGTGACCAATAACTGCTTAGATTCTGAAACCGGTGTCAATGGACCTAGTGGTTACCTGCACTTCCTTCACTTCCCTCTACCGGCAAAAGCCACTTCACCCCCGAATCTCATCTCCGAAAAGTGGTGCTTTTTCCTTCAGATGCCGACGCAAAACTACGTCTGAGCTCCAGTCGCCGGTGAGCGCTATCAGCCCCAACGGTAATCCTTTCCCTTCAATTCCTACTCATAAAGTCACCGTCCACGACAGAAAACAAGGTGTCGTTCACGAGTTTGTTGTTCCTGAGGTACGGCGTTTCACTCCGCTTATTCCTTAGAAAAATGCGGAAGAGACGATTGATCTACTTTGTAGTTGGAATAAAACAATTAATTCTCAATTAGTAAAAAAGATAATTAGGACTTGCATATTTTTTTTTGCTTGCTATTTATTCGATAGAACAACTTAATTGATTGATTAGAGACTGATTTAGGGATATTTGACTGAAATTGCAGGACCAGTACATACTACATACGGCTGAATCTCAAAATATCACACTTCCATTCGCATGCAGGCACGGTATTGTTATTTAAAATCCGATTAAGTTTTATTTTTAAATGAAATAAAACGGTGTCACATTTATCGATGATTTGAGTTTTGGGTTATATCATTATAGTTGAGCTCAGCTTACTTATTGGACTTTTAAGTCTGTTTTGAATGTTAATCTTTGTTTATTGGATGAAATTGTGTTCAATGAATAGTTTCTTTACATGGCAGGTTGTTGTACTAGCTGTGCCGTACGTGTAAAGTCTGGACAAATTAGACAGCCTGAAGCTCTTGGGATATCTGCTGAACTGAAAGCAAAGGCATGACTTTTATGTTTCTGATTTCTGGGTTATGAATTCATTTGCTTGTTTTGCTTCCTTTTCTGGAATTTTAGTTTCAAATCAAAACTTCAATGCTATTTCATTGTATTCAAGCCTTCAAATACTGTTTCATCATCTTTTCATGTCTTACTCATCAAATTTATCATATCATAGGTTTCTATTTGAAATCAAGTCATTGCAACTTTAAGAATCGTAGTCATTTAACCAATGGGCGAGGTATCCAAAGATATATAATTGTTTTGTAGACACACAAGGAACGTAAACTTAAACGGAAGAATATTCATAACATGGCCTCGATCATTTAGATTAACCAGATTAAGAGTTTACTAGCATAATTTGGAAGTAATCTTCTTCACATCGATGCTAAATTTTGCTGAAATTTCTATAGGTCATAACTGAACAAATGTCACACCACCAATTTTAGGTTCATTTGATTCTTAAATTAACGAGTAACTTTCTTTTTTAACAAGCTTAGTTTATTATTGGTTTTTCTAACCAACAATTGTATGTACAACGGTGAGTAGTGTTTATGACGGTTTACACAATGGTTTAGGGTTTGAGCTTTACACTTTCTGGTTTTAGTGGAGATCCGCAAGTCAGGGTGGACTCTAGGCTTCTTTTATTAGTTTACTAGCATAATTTGGAAGTAATCTTCTTCACATCGATGCTAAATTTTGCTGAAATTTCTATAGGTCATAACTGAACAAATGTCACACCACCAATTTTAGGTTCATTTGATTCTTAAATTAACGAGTAACTTTCTCTTTTTTAACAAGCTTAGTTTATTATTGGTTTTTCTAACCAACAATTGTATGTACAACGGGTGAGGTAGTGGTTTATGACGGTTTACACAATGGTTTAGGGTTTGAGCTTTACACTTTCTGGTTTTAGTGGAGATCCGCAAGTCAGGGTGGACTCTAGGCTTCTTTTTATTTCCCCTCTTTGTATTGTGTCTATCTTTCTCATTTATACCTCCATTCTCTTAGAACTTACTACTATCCCAGGACCAGCTCATTGGTCGGGGCTCGAGGTATGATATACCATATTTATTCTTTATGTTGTCGATAAGAGGTGGGCCCTCCTATTTATAACTCCATTCTCTTAGAACTTACGACTATCCTCTTTATGTTTTTACTTGTTCCGATATTTCGACATTTTGTTTTGTTCCTCTCTAGGTTATGATTCACCTCTTTTGATTTGGGTGGAGATTCATGTCTTACATCTCATTATAGTGAGACATCTTATTTCGGGACAGTTTCGCTGAGTGTGCAGAGACATCCCTACGATCTCTTTAGCACCGGTCTAACGATGTTGGAGTCTATGACATCTTCGCTTGTACAGACAGAGGGTATAAACCATGAGGACTTTGACGTTCCACTCTTTTTGGTGTGGGCAGAGAGTCGTAGATTCATCTCACTAACTAGCATTCTAATAAGAGCATCTCATTTAGAGACATGACTTACAGAGGCATCTCCATAAACTTGTGTTGAAACTCATAGTCATCTTGATGTTCTTAATAGCAGAGGACTTGTGGTGGTTCACTCTTTTTGATTTGAGCCGAGAGTAACAAAAATTAATACATTTCCCTTAATGGTGAGGATTTGTGGGCATCTTCGTGGCTCAATTGGAGGTCTTCGAGCGGAGGGTCTACAACATCTGGTTGTTGTTGCTCCTCTGTTGCAGAATTTCTAGCGTTTTCATCTTCTTGTTCCCCGACCGTTCGTCTGTTGATAGCTAAGAGTTCATTCAGAGCACTTTGCATGGTTTTCTATTATTGTTTCCCATACAATTGACGTTGCTGGTGGAGTACTTGGGAAGTCCTAAACTGTTCTTGGAGTTGTCTGAGCTCTGCCGGCAACGAAATTAGCTGGAAGGAACTATAATCCTGTGAAAGCCCTGAGTTGGTTGTTTCTTGCGATGAAGATGCTGAATCCCAGGATAAGCCGGAAAATATTGCTTGTACCGGTCAGTTTGATGTTCATAAAAGCCTTGTCGTTGGACTGGTTGATTGCGAATATGACTCAAATTCACTTGCATGTTTTTCGTCGGGTTATTGGGCAGATCCTGACCTGGGTGCTAGTTTTATTATACTTCTTCACAAGCTTCCGAGTCATGGGATTTGTTTTGGGTTTACTATGGGTTAAGTATCTTGATTGATTCTATCGGCTAAGAAGATCGTCCATGTTCACCACATCAATATTGATGTACAACGGGTGAGGTGGTGTTTTACAACAGTTACACGGTGATTATGAGTTTAGGGTTTACACGGTAGTTTCTGGGCTTCTTTTCTTCTCTTTGAGTTATGCCCATCTTTCCCATTTATAACTTCTTTCTCTTGGAACTTGCGGTTATCCTAGGATTAGTTCATAGATCGAGGTCTGAGACATTAAGTTTATTCTCTCTGTCATCGGTAAGTGGCGGGACTCCTAATTTTTTACCCATGTGCTTCTGGACTTTTTTGAAAACAACGAAATGGTGTAACAGCATTCATAAGTGAAAAATGTACCGAATACGCACTCACAGAGAGAGAGAAATTATACTACCTCATGTTAAACTTCTTGCATGTTTGTTCTATTTAGTGTTCTGAGTGTACTGTGTATTTCTTTCTTCTTATTTTCGGGGCTTAAATGCAGGGATATGCGCTTCTTTGTGTGGGGTTTCCTTCTTCTGATGTTGAGGTGGAAACACAAGATGAGGACGAGGTAATGTATAAAACCCTCCTCATTTATTTAGGAGAACTGTTATCTGTTCTTTGTATGATAACCAAATGAAGTCATTGTAACCCGTCAAAGGTGGATTGCCGACTCATAAGCCTCAAATTTCTTGTGATATGGGCATTTGAATTTGTCTTCATCGGCATTTATCTGATGTCCAAGAAATAAAGAGAACTGCCAACTCATATAGGATTTCTCGAGTGTCTTTAAACCTTTATTTATACGTGTCAAAAATAACTTGAGTTTGCTGGCATGTGCAGGTGTATTGGCTCCAATTTGGAAGATATTTTGCTCGAGGACCAATTGTAAGCCCACGACTTCTGAAAATTTTGTACCATTTAATATGCAACAAGTAGTAGTAGAAGACAAAAGGATAGTTTAAAAGGAGCTAAGCTGATGCACAGCTATTGCCCCTTTCAGGATTTAATGCTTAATTAACTCTTTTGAAATGGTCTTAAAATTGTATATGTGGAACTTTGGCAGGAAAGGGATGACTATGCATTGGAGCTAGCCATGGGTGATGAATAAGCTACTTACATTTTACAAGTGAAAGATGAGCATAAACCATGAAAAGCCTGCTGCGGATTCTTTATCTTGGCCTTTTATGTCATCATCTTAATTTTGCCCCTCCCCCACAAATTACTATGATTATGACTCATGGAACTGGCGGTCTTGACTTGTTTAAGTTACATGATTTTAACTTATTCTATGTATGTTTTCCCCGTGCCAATTTAGCATTTTCAGCAGTTTTCCCCCATATGATTGCACTCAATTGTATGTCATAATCTTTAATAAGATCATTTGTATGTACAGTAGCTACTCTTGAAATTGTGCTTCATCGTATTTAAAAAAGGATGATGAAATATTTGATAGACAGGGAGTGAGAGAGAACGCAAGGAAATCCGGTTGCATGCTGAAGCTTCCGATTGCAGAGATTCAAATGATGAACTATGCTTTTTGTTAGAGGTCGCACATCATATGTTTCATGACCTTCTTGGTTATGATAAAATCGAGATCAGGTTTGGTGGGAGATTACCAGACACGTATTTGAATACTAGGACTGACATGGATGTAATGCTCCCAATTCCACGCAAAATCCATAATCCACGATGAAGGCAGAGAATCCATTTCCAAGTTTCTGATTCAACCAAAAAAAGTCTTACCAGCTATGAAGTTCTCAAGCACTTGTAAACACGCAATGGCCCTTTGATTGTGTTTCTTCTAATCAAAATTTGTTGATTGTGATCCATTAGAATGATTTTTTCCTCTTATCTCCTTTGATACTCTCTTAAGGACCACTAAGGTTCCCTTATCAACAAGAATAAGGTCACAATGCTGTTTCTGGGCCTTAAACCTTACTGCTTCACATTATTATTATTATTATTATCCTTTGTCCAAAAGGTCAGGTAGGGGAGTGAATCATCTTTGTCCCTCATATTACCTTAAGTGATGGGTTCTAAACTTACTAGGAGTACCCCCTTCCTTTCCCTAGAGTCTCCCTTACCCTCATTCTAGATAGGTTTAGGATTAGAATTAGGATTTATCAAAAAAAAAAAATCCCTCCTAAAATTTTATAAATTTATCCTCCTAAAATAAAATCACATGTTTGTCGTGAATGTTTTCTTCTTGAAAGTTTGCTGACCTCCATTTCTTCAATCAAGTTTGCTGCCTTGTGTCATTTATAAATGTCCTTGTATATATTCTACTTCAGTACCCAAATAACTTAATTTTGTGTATCTTTGTTCGTCTGGTTTGCATGATCGAATTTTTTTATAGCAATTGCCAAACATGTTGCCTTCTTGTTCGTACCGGAGTTAGTGGCGGATCTGTTGCGGAAGACGGCTATCAGATAGAGCAAAATCGCAACTGATAATTTGAGAAAATAAAAATGAAGATAAAAAGAGACACAAAATTTACGTGGAAAACCCCCTAAATAAAATAGGGTAAAAACCACGGGCAACGGTAGAAGAATTTCACTATGAGAAAATAAGAATTACAACCTCTCTCGATCTACCAAGGAGAAATCAATGATAATTCTCTCTCGATAAAAAGGAGAAAACAACTCTCAAGAAACTCTCTAAATTCTCTCTAGTATTGGAAGAAAGCTAGAATGCTTTGTGATGATTTTGAAGCTAAATGAGCTAGGGTATTTATAGTTAAATTTTAAGGACTAATCTTGTAAATACCATAAAGTCTAATGACTAAAATTAATTTTTCCATTCAAAATATTCAACACCTAATTCATGCCTACCATTCCCTTTTTCAAAGTTTTAGGTGGAATTGATTTTTTTTCCAATTCCAACTTTCGGTGGGAATTTATCAATTTTCAACTATCTCCCACTTGAAGATTTGATTGGAACAATCATATCTTCACACCATTCTTTCTACCTTGTACCATCATGTTGCTTACATTTCTGACAGACCACAAGAGGATCGACACCAAGTAAATTTATCAGTGTTGATCGCCTTTGTCATGAAATCTGTTATGTTGTCTTTGGTATGGATCTTCTGCATA